TTCGGCTACGCGCGCGCGCACGCTCGCACACAAGCAACGCGCCGTATATACGTGTGCACACGTATTGGAAATGTGAACCGAATATTACCGAATCTCACCGGAAAGAGTCGAAGTCAGACGAGTGATCCCCTTACCGCGATTATCAGTTACCCCTCGTACAAAGGGTCCGTCTATAGAAGTCTATGGTCATCACATATGGCCGCCACCCAATTTCCCCTCACCGCGCTCGCTTGGGTCCCTTCGTCCTAAATCCTACATTACGCTCCGTCCATATATTCTTACGTCCATGCAACTGGCAGTGAGTGAAACTTGTACTACGTAAAACAGCTACTAAGCCAAGGACAAATAAAAAGTCAAGATGACATTTAGTTGGTGGTTGGTTTGGCCACATTGACCGAAATATAATATAAATTTGGTTACTAATAAGTGAGGAGCTATAACGTTTCTCTCGTGACTCTTGTAGATCGACGCAATAACCCGACGAGTGATTACCCAATGAGCGTACAAGTTTTATGAGAAAATGTACTGTTCCCACAAAGACTGTACACCCATTGGATTATTGCGCGTTGCGTTGATTAGAACCACTATGCTCCACGACCAACAAGTACGGAATCAGTCGACTATGTAGTCGAGACGTGACGCTGTGTCGACCGTACGAGTGATAAAGAATTCTACGCTCGCCGCGTATCATACACGCGATCTCATACGCGCAGTATACACCGATTCTTCGTATATAAGCGAACGGCTCTTAAGTTAAGATACAGTGTTCGGCAACATGCTGAAAGCGAACGACGCAGCGAGAATGTTGGACGGCGATTCTTGTGCAATTTGTTTGCAGGAAGTGGAAAAATTGCTGAAAGCCAAAAAAACATGGAGCTCGCAGATGTGTATCGAATTTAACAGTGTCTGTTACTCGGTTCGTTGCAATCGCAAAGGCAAGCATATATCAGCGTTCTATATATTCGTGACAGTTGCACTCTTGCGTTCTCAATACCATGGCACATTTACTCGTGCGTGTCATAATATCTTCAGATCTTTCACACAGTTTTACATAACTAACGATTGGTTTAATCATCCGTATTGAAATAATCAGGCATATGCGGGTAACATTCGTAACATACGTCATGTTACTAATCAACTGAATTATATATAATATCTAGGGTAAAGGCGGGCATTATGGCCAGGCGGGTAATATGGCCACAACACCCGTATTAAATATTCTAAACATTGATAAACATCGATAATGTATAAAAACCAATTATTGTAGCTATTCTTGAAGTTTAGTAACAAAAATCTCTCTATTTTGTTGTTATTTGTGGTTTGGTGCTTCATTGTTCTCCATAACCATCAAAATATACACGTCAAAGTGAGACATGGCACTTCCAACTAAGTAAGATTTTCAAATTATAACAAAATAATTTTGGCTTTTCTCATTACACATTTTAAAACCTGAACCTTGGCTATAATTTTATAATAAATTTATCGTGCTTTGCCCATTATTTTGATAATTATAATGCACATTATTAAATGTATGCTCGGCGGCTAATATGGCCAGCGACAAAAATAGCTAATATGGCCAGCGAGTACAACAGAGTGTAGAGTACGCCAGTGCTGAGAGTGATAACAGCGAAGAAAGAAAATAGTTATTTCTCACAATTTATTAATAAATTGTGAGAGCACGGCGTTACGTAGAGAGAGAGTGGACATACACATACACATTTCTTAAATGTGTACTCGTATGTTTAAAATATTTCAAAGTTTATGTTCTGTACGATTAAAGTAATACTTTACGATTAAAGTAAATACCTCATTTTTGCAAAATATTACTGTTTTGTACACTTTTTTTTATAGTTGGCCATATTATCCACCCCACGTTTAATATGGCCAAAACGCATACTTTCAGATTCTTTTTTTCTTCGAATATGGATAGATTTTAATTGATCAAAACATTTTGTCATCAAAGCTTATTAAATACACTAGAATTTCAGAAAGTTACAAAATAAAAAACCAGCGGTTTGAAAATTATGACCTCAAATCAAAACTATGGCCATAATACCCGCCTTTACCCTACATAGAGGAGAAAGTCTTCTATTATGAAATAGGATTCTAATATCAACGTCCAATTTCAATCACAAATCTTTTTTCGCGACGATTACACGATCTAATAATAAATTTTATACTAAATGGATTTTATTCCAAGAGCAATAAAAAGAGGAATAAACAAGTAGTGCCTGTTAATTTAGCAGAAACCCTGCTAACTCATATCAAGAACTTATTTCATAATAGGGACCTTTCCTCTGCATTGTACTGCATGCCTCATTTGCACTAAACGTATCCACCTAATGATTCGGTAAATTCAGTGTTTATGGATTGGTATTGTGGATGTTACCAAATTTTCTCAATTATCAATCGTGTACTCAATAAATGTATTTTTTAACGTTGTGAGGTTTTAATACACGAACGTTATGTTGCAACGTTCTAATGGAACCGATAAGATATTATTTAATCTTATAATGAAATGTGGTATGCGCAAACACTTTGCCTAAGACTTTTTTAAAACACGTTATTTAGAAAATTATTAGAATCACAAGATACGAACAATTAAGTTGTTTCACTTATTTAGAACCACTTAGATTAAAAACAAAGTTTTATTAATTTACGCAGCAAAAATTTAAAAAAGTTTAAACTTGTGATTCCCATCTATTTTTAAACTTTCAACATTCATATGCCCTTGAAATTACATCCGCTTGTAATTGATTAGCTCCAGATAATGTTTTTGGAGTCAATTATAACACTTTTAAAAAAACGTTTTTTTTAAAAAAAGTAAAAAGACGCCAAATATAAGCGCTACCTAATTAAGAATTATACAAATTAATTATTTGGATATATTTTATAAAAAAAACATTTTATCTCCTCTACAAAAGTATCTTCTCTACGAAAGTAATGATATCATCAAATGACGCCAACTAAAATAAATATTTATACAAATTAGATATATGGCGATCGTGGCGCAGAGGATTATGCGCTAGTCTGGTACTCCGAAGATCCGGGTTTAAAATCAAACAACATTATTGGTTTTCGTTCGATCGCCACATAGCGAAGTGGATATAGAGAGGTGTTCTAAGAGGTTTGGGCACGTTCCTTCAAAAACGCCTTGTAACCCTAAGGGGAATCGATAAAATGTATTTACATTTATTTACAAACTAGATACACTACAAACAGAGAGGATTTGAAGTCTTTAAGTTTGTTTTCTGTTTCTGGACTGGTGAGCTAGTGCGATAAATTAGAGTAAGACAAGAATATATTTTCTCATTCTAGCTTACTGCATTAGTTCACTACTGCAGGAATAGAAAATAAACCTATTAAATACGGCGGAAGTGACAAACCGCGAGATTCTTAGCTTTGTTGTGAAACACACGCGCAGGCACGCCCACCCACAACCCACACACACACACGCTCTCTCTTTTTCTCTCTCTCTCTCAGAAACGCGCGTGCCCGCGTGATGCCTTATCTGTCTTCTATTGTTGCCGTGGGTTCTCGAAAAATCTCAATAGAAATGTTCAAATGATTATAACTCTATGAATAAAAATCGTAGAGACTTTGGCGACCTTTGGGTTGTTTTCGTCTTGAAAAGCTGTTTCGAACGAGTTCTCACTCAACCCCCCTCCCCATCCCAAATAGCACAAAGTCGATTATTAATTGACTGTCAATCGGCAGAAGAAATCTTAAGTCGACATCAAAGTCCAGCTGGATATCGACTTATAGTCAACTAATAGTCGACAAATGACTCGACTATAGTCGGCTATTAGTCAGCTAAAAGTTGACTTAGAAGTCGACTTTATGGCAATTATAAGTCAACTTTTAGTCAATTTTACGTTATATACATACATATATTAACTACTAAATTTGTAATACTACCATCTCGAAAACTTTATTGATTAAAGTTTTTATATTTTAATTGTATAATAATTGCAATATATACACAATATATATGTATATATATATTACATGTATGTATATATGTAAAATGTTCGGAGGATATTCTCAACTAAATAAATAAACTATATAAACAGATAAATTTTATTGTGAACAAAATTAAAGATATCGGTAAAATAAGTAAAATTATATTATTTATGATAATTATATAGTATAACGGACCACCCTCCAATCTCGATGATCTTGACATGTGTTGTCATGGTCATGAGCCTGAGTGAAATTCAAGAAGTTTTAGCCGTCGGCCGGTGTTTGTTAAAAAGTTATTAAGAAAAAAAATGTTTAACGATTACGGTTTTTAACATTTATCTCGCCAAATGTTAAAAACTTTGAAAAAATATGACTCGTCTCATGTCCAGATATGATCTTGTCGTTTATCATGAAAGCACTGATAATTGATAAACAAGCAAGAAACGTGCATGTCGCAACAATTGCGCTACACTCGAAAAGTGAGATTTCGATTCACTATGTATATCGGTTTGACATTTTGACCTAGTTTACATCGTGCACTTGATACGCGTATCAAATAGTAACAAATAGTAAATAACTAGTAAATTGTTTGGTCATTGGCTGATCAGTTCAAATACACTATTTGATACGCGTATCAAGTGCACGATGTAAACTAGGCCATTGACCAGAAAGATTGGTCAAAAGATGCCGAAAACATAAGAAGATGACGAAAAATTTGTATGTCTGTCGGTAAGACGAAAAAATATTTTTTAGTCGATTTGTCGCTTTACCGAAAGACGACCTTCAACTTCCTGAAAATGTCGACTTTAGGTTGACTTTCAGTCTATAGTTAAAGTCGACAATAAATCATCCTATAAATGGTTGACTAAATATCGACTTAAAAAGTTGACTTTAAGTTGACTAAAAAATGTCGACTATCAACCGGCAAACAGTCATTTGTGCTATGTGGGATGCCATTTAAGATTTTTGCTCCCTCCTCCCCTCGTCCCTCAGGGGTGTGGAGGTGAGTCCCATACAGCATCAAAGCTTTCAGAAATATTTCAGAAACATTGTAACAATGCAATAATGTTCTCTGAAATGTTTCTGAAAGCTTTGGTGCTGTATGGAGTGTTTCTGTGATTAAATAATTGACTTTGTAATCCCATTGTATTCCTATAAATTTCAATCCTATTATACATATATTTCAAACCATTCAAAAATTATTTAGGTGGCCCAAAACTTTTGGTAGGCAATTTCACTTCTTTCCAACAAATCTCTACGTAATTTCCTTGGATTCTTAATGCGATTTCAATCGAAACACTGCGCACGACAAGTGCTCATGCTTTTTGCGTATTACTCATTATTAGACATTGCTTAGACGTAGTTAAAAAGGAGTGTTTATTGTAGATAATAACGAGAAAACGATTTTACGGGATGTAACGGGGCATTTCGAACCGGGAAAAGTGACTGTAATAATTGGTCCTTCTGGTGCGGGAAAGACCAGCCTGCTGAAAATCGTATCAGGCAAACGATTGACCGATGTTAAGGGCACTGTCACCATAAACGGCGTCAAATGGGACATGGGAATGTTCCGTAAACATGTGTGCTATGTGCCGCAACAATTCGATCTATTGCCGTTTCTCACGACGAAAGAGACTCTCTACTTAGCGACTCGACTGAAACTCGACGCTAATCAAAGCAACCAAGTGATTTGTTCAGTTGTAAGTAACATATAAATACAAAAGACGCGTTCCAAGCGCTATACAAAAATATATTATTAAATAAATGATAAATATAGTAATTATGTATTATTATACATTATTATTACATCATATAATAAATTCTTTTTTTTTTCAATTCTCATTTCTTTCTCTGTACTTTTTCCAATTTATGAGTTTTATTTATTAGTACTTCTACTAGCTGCGAGCAATTATAATAGATTGACACATCATCAGCTATTATTTCTGTTATAGGTGGACAAAG